AGTTAGGATGTCGTGGATCTTTTCTTTTCCATTAAATATCTTGAATAAGCAAAGATAGTAAAAGTAAAGGTACTATAAAATATACATCTCTTACAGAATAACCTTTGTTCACAACCTTTTAAATTAGTGCAATAACTCAACAAAAAAAAACAAAAGAGAAAAGGTTTTTAAAAGTAATTAGTATAAAGTGCTTATCTTTTAACTATAACTGAATACAGTATTTAAACTTTTTTGTTTGTTTATTCACAGTAGTCATGCACTGGACATCTGAGCATTAAAGAACATGTTACTTCATTTCAATCATTTTCCATGATGAACTTAAAAACATAGTAGTTGTAGTATGTAAAACACACCTGAATTATATTAAGAAGCTTTTCAAGATCCTGGTGGCTTAGACCCACAGGGTAGAAATGTGTGTAGGCAGCACATACACCATAATGCACTGATTCCTGAAGGAAAAGCTGTATGGCAAAGCGAGCATAATCAGATTCTACTCCAATAACTCCCACCCAGGTCCAGCCAAAATAGCGGACCAACTGGGCCAGGGCTTTAATCTGGAAGGCGTCACTAGGCATTGTCCTCATGAAGGTGGGAAATTCCCTTTGATTGCTCAGGCAGCTGCATGAGGCAAAATAGCTCACCTAAAATTACAGCAAACAGTGGTTGACCTTTTGCACTACTGTTCTTTTAAAAGACTGGAGAAAATGCATCAAATTACATAGAACAAAATTACCTTGTACTTTACGACAGTCAATACAACTTACTTAAAAGGCTGAATAGATGTAGTTTTGAGACATAAGAATGCATGTATTGTCATCTCAGTTTTCCCAATATATCCTTTTTGGAAAGATTGAACTTCATTAAACAGGAATAAATCTGAATCATGCTGGTTTTTTAAAGTTAAAATAACTGTAATACTGCTATAATATATTATATAATAATATATTATATTCTATCTATCTATCTATCTATCTATCTATCTATCTATCTATCTATATAAATACATATATATATGACTTAGACTTAGACAGATTTATTTGACATTTTGTTTACACAAGTGTAAAACAAAAAGAAATTTCGTTTAGAACAGCTCTGGGCAATTTCATTTATATATATATATATATATATATATATATATATATATATATATATATATATATATATATATATATATATATATATATATATATATATATATATATATATATATATATATATAAAGGCATGTTTAAAATTATAAAATAAAAAAGAAGCTTAGATAGTCTTACCACTGGAATATGAAAAGAACCCAGACTTTGTAGCAGAGCCATAGAAACACCAGACCCAGCGTCACCTATGATAACTGAGGACAGCGTTCTGTTCACAGCAGAACATCCTAAATGAAGGGCTTCATTTTTACTTGCAATTCTCCTTCCTCTCTCAGCTTTAAGGCCTCTCTCTGGCTCTCCATTCACTAACAAAAATGATGCTCTCAAGGAAACAGATATCTCATCACAGCTGTCAAGAATGTGATAACCAAGTTTGAGTTGTGGCAAGAGATCGGTGCGCTCGTTGATTTCTCTGATCGTAAAAGCCATTGTCTGCATCCAGCGAAGCGCACGAGCACTGAAACTGTAGACAGAGAAATAATTACTCCACATTTATTTTTATAAACATTACTGCAACCAAATCAGTTAAGAACATTTTGCACAAGTCAATTGAATTTTTAAAACTTACTAATTATAAGAATTAGGTGATGGTCTTTCTTTAAATGTGAGAAGAGAGGGTACAGGGCTGTAATGTAGAGGGAATAAACCCCCAATAACCACATCACCATCTTCATAAAGACTGTTTGACCCTTCTTCTCCCAGGAAAACACAGTTATATTGAGCAGCTGCTGATCCCTGTTTTCCTTTAAATAGAGACAGAGAGAAAAGGAGTGTGGCAGCCAGCAAAGCCATGTTTGCCTCAGGTGTCAAAGAAGATTGAAATAAAGTTTGAAAAAATCCGATATTTATACTGTAGTTGGCACACATGTCGGCACCACCCAGAAAAAATGGTTGCAGCATAATTGGTTGTGATACAGAACCTTCTGCTCTGTTGGATACTGCAAATGAGCTTTATCATTAGATCTTATGTTGAAGCTAATCACACTGTGATAAATAATTTACACCCTTATTACATTTTGGGGATCAATAGTTTTGTTTTTGTTTTTTTTTAGATCTTTTAATCTGCTCTGCTCTGTAGGTTACTATTTTGATCTGCTTAACATGCCAAAAATGCATCAATCTTATAATACATTTTAAAAATATTTGTTTATCCTCAAAGACTACCAAGGGCTACATTCCTTACAGAAGTAATGTGACTGTCACTAGAAGTGATCAATAAAGCTTCGATGAAAAATATTATAACTAACATTTTAAGTCCCTGTTGTCACAAATGTGCTATATATTTTAAAGGTAGTGTCTTATTTATTATATTATTCTTTGGCTTCCACTCTACAACAAAAAAACAATCATATGTAAATAAAATTATAATAATTTCAAATATTAAAATGCAGCTTGGTTTAACTTCCATATCTCCTTCATATTTTCCTAAAACCAATTTTATTAACAATAAATAAATAAATAATGTGATTTAAAAAAATACTTTTAATAGTACTGTTAATTATAATTTTCATACAATGATTTTTTTTATATCGAAAATATTTTTCATGGTGAAATTTTTAAAAACAGGTCAAGTCCCATGAGTCTACTGTCTAACTTATTACCCTAAATTACCCTAGACTGGCGATACAGCACATCATTGTATTCTTTTCTTTTTTTTCTAATCAGCATCCCCTTGGTCTTTTCTTTAAAAATTAATATATAAGTACAGAGTTGGTGCTTTGCCATCTTAAAATGATTCCTTTTAGATTTAGCTGAATAGTAAATTTTGTTCCTTACCTACTGCATGTGGTGGAAGATTTTCATTCAGCCTGTGATTATTTTTATCTTGTTTTGCTTAAGATACATTATCCATATATTGCCTTAAGAGGATGTGCTTGGTGCCATTTGGCATATTTTCAAGTGTTTCCTACTGATTGTGTTTATAGAGTTGGAGTCAGAGGAGATTCACAATCTAGTTTTTTGCTAAGGCCAGCTAAGGAGGAATGTTGATAACAGCCTGGTTTAGGCTAGAATAAACTTACTTTTCCCCCTCCTCTGTGATGTATAAAACTGTATGCAAACCTTCCTCCAAAGATTTATGCCTCTCTGAGAGCGGGAGCTTTTAAATGTTTTGTGCCTTTAAATAAATTTGAAAGGTGAAAAACAAAATACCAACTTTTCTTTGTTTTACAGAGTGGTTGTCTCTCCCTCTTTGATAAAAAAAGAAATTTCCCGATGTGGACCCGATGGAGTTTCTTTGGTTTTAGCAGGTGGTGGCAGGCTAACAGATGGAAACTGTCATAATGTTCAACGCACTTTTGCTAATGGTGCAAACAAGCAGGAACAACTTATGGGGTTGGTGTTTAAGTTTTAAGACTGGTATGCAATCAGAAATCTACTTCAAGTGTGAATGTTGTTTGTTTTTTTATTATGTGTGTTTATTATCATGTGTGTTTTACATTTATATTTATATGAATTTACTAAGGTAACTTCATATTTCCTTTTTCAGCTATGTGTCTGTACGTCAAATAATGACCTCGAAAAGGGCATTTGTTAATATATTACATGTCATAGGTGCATAAATGCGTGTTTCTGGACACCTTCAAATGTATGTTGTTGTGGCTGCTTTGTCATGTTTACATTTTTACATGATGCTATATCTGTGTTAATTGTGCTTTGGTGCTCGCTGTCTCAATGAAATGAACTTAGTGGTTAAGTTGTGAAGAATGTAATATTTCCAATTATGATAAAGATGTCTATATCGGTCAAAGTTTTCCCGTTGTAATTTTCATGCATTCTGAGGTATTATTTGTAAACGCTTTAAAACGGCGATCCGGTTTTGAGAGAGGGAAACGGGGGAAGACTGCAAGGATGCTGAACACTTCAAGTGCCACCCACATGGGGTTTTCAAATCATTGTTGTTGTTTAAAAAAAGTACTTGCTGGAAAAATTAAAATGGACTTACTTGTCGATAAAAGACAAACTGAAAAGACTAGAGAAATGTTCTTACTTGAAGTTCTTTACTAACTTATTTTGGTCATTGCTGTAACTGCTGTAATCTTTGAATCAGATCTTCTTTACCTCATTTGGCATTTTCTAATTGTCTAGTTTTAAGGAATTTGTAAACTTTTGCATATGCAGTTTTGGATGCAATTTTAATATTTGCAGTTTTTCCAGATTTGAAAGTTTTTTCCTTAGTTTTTTTATTGATCACATGATACTTCACTGTTTTGTAGTTTACTCTGTTTTTTACCCCTTGAGTTGTATCTGCTTCTATTGGAATACTTGAAACTTTTTAATTTAACTTTTTTTATTATTATGATTATTATTATTATAATATAAGTTTTTGTGCTGATTTTGCTAAGTTTTTCGGTCACATTTTTAAAATTTGCTGCTAACACAATACTTGACATTTGGTTATTACTTAGTTATCACACATTTGGAAGTTTTTTCCTTTTTTGTTATTGATAATATAATTATTTTGTGTTTTATAGTTTGCTTTGTTTATGGATCTTAAATATGTTCCCTTTATTTATTCACAAAATGCCTGGACTCCTGAATATAAACAATCATTAAATACCTTACTTAAATCAAATGACTTCTTCTGCCACACAGTAAGAACGATAAGTAATAAAAACAAAATCAGACATATAAAGTTAAACATAAATTTAAATGTAGTTGCAGTTGATTGGCTTATTGGAGAACCAAATTCAATTATTGCTTTGTTATTCCATTGTTTATTATTACCTTCAGGTCATTAAGCAAAGCATCTAAATATCCAATCACAACATTCCCATTTAAAAAAAAGCAAGGTTGTATTCTCTATATAAACTGCCTAATTGCTAGCTCTCTCTAGTTTTGGGAATATATGTCAGTATGCCTCTACTTGCTTTTTTTTCTTTGCTTTATTATGTCATTGTTTTGTCTTTAATAAATTCCTCAGTTTCCAGATACACCTCCTCAGCTGCAACAGGAATCAGAGACTGTTTTCTCCAAAACAGCTTTGAGCCAAGCTTTGTTGCCAAAGGTGACTTCATTATTGGAGGGATTTTCCCCCTTCATTATAACCAAGAAATGCCTGATCAGAACTACACCTACCGACCACAACCAGTAAAGTGCAATGGGTGAGACTACTAGAAATATTTTTTTTAGTTAGAATGGTGGTGCTTTTGTTTTGCTGTTTTTAGGATCTTTATTGAACCTAAGAACCTGATAGATAAACCAGTGTTTCAAGAGCTAATGAAAGAATTTTTCTGTTCAGGTGATAGGTAATCTTTCTTTTTTGTTTTTTTTCTGAATAATTATCATTTGGTCATCATATTATGTTAGTGATTTATTGTTCTTTGATTTGTTCATAACTAGTTTCATTAATTATTCATGAACAGACTGTCAAAGAGGACTTGCGTAAGAATATAGCAATTACAGAATGTATATATTCTCATGATGTCTTAAAAAAATGTAAAAATATTTTTAAAATGTGGATTATTGAAAAAAATTACTTATTTCAGTACTTCAATTCACAGACTAAACATTCTAGATTAAAGACACACAAATGGATATGTTTAAATTTCTTTGCATTGCGACGATTAATAGCTTACAGTACAGGTGCTGAAAACACATATTAGAATATTATATCAGACCAATAAAAAGTTTTAATATAGAAAAGTAGGATGAATAAAAATGATATCTAATACATGCTAATTCACTGTAATTCCTAAAAGGTATCTGAAAAACAACATCAACTGAACAAATAGTTTAATTTACTGAATATGATTGCAATTAGACTAAGACTTAAAATGAAATTGTCAATAAAGAAAAAGAAAAGTACAGTTCCTCACATGTACAAGCCGCCATTTATTCTGTATCACCAATATTTCTGTCTCTAACTACTTTTTTCAATTTTTGTGTTGTATCTTTGCTGAGCTACAGATTTGATCCAAGGGCTTTCCGTTGGGTTCAGACTATGAGGCTAGCAGTGGAGGAGATAAACCAGAGCTCAAAACTACTGGCCAATCATACCCTGGGATATAAGATTTTTGATTCATGTGCATATCCACTGACTGGTCAGAGGGCTGCTCTGGCTGTGCTAAATGGGCTTAGTGAGGAAAACTCTCCCATGTGCACAGGTGCCTCTCCGATGCTTGCTGTCATTGGAGAATCAGGATCTGCACAGTCCATTGTGGTTTCAAGACTCCTGCAAGCATTTAGAATCCCAATGGTAAAACTATCTCTTTTTCTCTAACCATTTTAATATTTTTTTTTTCTATTTGACGGTGCTATAGGTTTTCCTTTTTAACACAGATCAGCTACTTCTCATCGTGTGCCTGCTTTACTGACAGAAGGAAACATCCCACGTTTTTCAGAGTCATTCCTAATGATGACTACCAGGTAACACTTTAAATGAACAAAAATGAGTTAAATAAAACTTTCATCCTTCTTATATCAATCATACATTGTTAGGTCATATGGCTGTTAATGTTGAAGATGAGTTTTTAAAACATTCTTTTCAAATGCTGCTTATGTCCCAATGTACTAATTTATGTATGTGCTTTGAAACAAAATTCCTAAGATTTTGTCATTTATACTTTTGTTGTTTGAAATTTATTTTTTTATTTTTTTTTGGGTGATAAAGGTGAAGGCCATTGCTCAACTTCTGGTACACTTTAACTGGACTTGGGTTGGGCTTATTCGAGGAGATCATGAATATGGACGCTTTGCAGTGCAAGGCTTACTGCGGGAACTGGAGGGCAGCAAAGTCTGTGTGGCTTACCAAGAAATGATCCCTCTGCTCTACAGCACACAAAGGGCAATGGAAATTATACAGGTAGATTTTTAATGAAGCATTTATTTAGCATTTGCTGATTGTCAATTCAAATATGTGGGATTGTCTATTCCCAAATATTAGCAGTTACTATAGGGGTGTGATATAACATGTAGGCCCTCTACTCAGCTAAACTTTTACAACACTTTAAAACAACCACAGCTGCCACAAAGTGCTGTACATACCAAAGAAAGTTTAAACTGTATAAAACAACATAAAAGTTGTAAATAATAATAAAAAAAAATGTTTTCTTATAAAATTAAGGGATAAAAAATGGGGTAAAGGGTTGTGGATTTTGGTGTGGCCATATACTGAACAAATATAGCTACCTAAACATATTCAGAATTGTGTGTGTGAAACTAAGTGCACAATGCAAAGTTCTACAGTGTAACTTTAAAAGTGACTACAATTGAAAACAGAGAGGCTTTCCAGTTATCACTAAACTGCTTAAGTTTATTTACATATAACTGTCAATAGTAGAAAATAAAGGATGTAATGAAAAAAAAAAAAACGGAAGGGTCATGAAATACGAGGAGGGAGAGATTATACTAAAAAGTATGTTTTTTTTAAACTATTGTTTATAAAATGGTATAATGGAGGAGTTTCATGAATTTTGCATATATATATATATATATATATATATATATATATATATATATATATATATATATATATATATATATATATATATATATATATATATATATATATATATATATATATATATATATATATACACACATTGGTTCAGGATTCTGTTGTTGGCTTTCTTGACAGTTTTCTTTGGGGCATTTGTCCGATATCCAACTTATATTGTATCGACCAAAATTAAGAAATAAATTGCCATATAAAACATAACAGTATCACATGGGAATTTGGGATCACTGCCTCTTAAAAAAGCAAGTCAGATTAATCTGTTGACGACTTTTTTAAATTTTAGTTTTTTTGTTTGTTTGTTTAAGTTTGTTTTATTTTTTTCAAAATGTCAACACAACTCCAAACTGATTTTAGCATATTTTATATTAGAATATGGAGCTTTTCCTTTTAGAAATGCCTTAACAATAACTGACAATTTTTACATCAAATCAATCAGGTGTTAACTCTGCTGGCTTACATCTTTATTTATACAAATAATCCAACCAAATCCCTGATCAAGTCTACACTCTGAATTTATTAAGATTCAGCATATGCCAAAAATCAAGTTAACTTAATAATTGAAATAGATCTAATGGTTATTTCTCGATTATTTAAAAAGCTCACAGTTTTATTAATTTGTTCGTGATTGAAATATGATTAAAGCATATCAAACTGTGGATTTATAACCATGATTTGTATGTACTGTTACACCCCTACTGCACAGTTAGTAAACTTAATTCTATATGACTTTATACACACATTGGATCTAGTCATCTTCTGTTTGAAGATCTTTATTTTAGGACCTTTAGTATTTTAATGTACTTTTTCATTTACTACATAACCTCATGAAACTAATTCAAATATTCTAGATAAATTTGGCATTTATGAAGAATGACTGAAATAGATATACAATTCAATCTAGTCTAAACTTTTTTCTAGACAATGGTTGATTTAAAAATGACATAGAAAGTGTAAATTTAATTATCCCGACTTAATCATTATCAGGGGTACAAGCATGTTAAAAGTTACATTAATTTTTAGTAACTTTCTGATGTACTTTCACAGACAAAAAAGTATTAAAAAGTTAAGAGTTGTCTTAAAGAAAAAATATTTTTCTTTTGGTCTCAATCATCTTTACTTTTTCTTTTTCAGGTAATGCGGAGCTCTTTGGCAAAGGTAGTGGTGGTATTTTCAGCTGAAGGGGAAATGACACCTTTCCTGAGAGACTACATGATGCAGAACATTACTGGAATCCAATGGGTGGCAAGTGAAGCCTGGATCACAGCATCTGTCTTTACAGGAAGAGAATTTTACCCCTACCTGGGGGGCACCATTGGGTTTGGCATCAGAAAAGGTCATATTGCTCAACTCAGTGAATACCTGCAAACAATCAACCCTAAAAGATATCCCAATAATTCTCTGGTGGGTGAGCTTTGGGAGGCTCTGTATGGCTGCAGTCCTTTTGCATCCTTTGCCAACAAATTGGCCTTGTGTTCAGGGAAAGAGGTCTTGTTGGAACAGCACTCAGCCTACACAAATACGTCGAGTCCTAGAGTGGCTTACAATGTCTACAAGGCTGTTTATGCAGTTGCCTATTCCCTGCACAACCTCCTTCTTTGTCAACCTGGCAATGGGCCTTTTAAAAATAATTCTTGTGCTCAGAGCAACCATATTCTACCCTGGCAGGTACAGTAAAAATGTCTTTACGTTATGTTGTATATAAATCTCATTATAAACCTTGTAGCAAAGCTAATTAGGTTTACTGTTTTTCTTTCTTCTGTTAAAAATGCTTCAGCTTCAGTATTACCTGCAAGAAGTCAGGTTCAAAATTGCTGGAGAGGAGGTCAATTTTGACCTGAAGGGTGACTCAGTACCATACTATGACATTATCAACTGGCAGAGAGGCGCAACTGGAAACATTGAGTTTGTTAACGTGGGATTGTTCGACGGAACTAAGCCTTATGGAGAAGAGCTGCTGATCCAGGAGGGAAGAATAATATGGGCAGGTCATCAGAGTGAGGCAAGCTGCTCACACTGTGTTTTTACCTTCATCAGATGCCAACTGTTGAAGTTCTGTAGGTTAAGATGGAGGTGAGTAAGGTGTATAGGATGGATTGGATCTGGTAGGAACCCCTTTGACGTTACATAGTAAAGATAATATTTTTAAACATGGCCATAGAAGTACCATACATTACTCTTTCTCCAATAGCCTCACTTTCCTTCTGTGATCTGGCCATATTTATTATGATCTACTGAAAGATCCTGACCTGGAATAGGTAATATTACTCAAACTGACAATAATACACTCCTGAGCCAGCTTGGGTATAACAATAAACCTGTAACTACTATGAACTCCAAATATAATACATGCTTGTAGAAGAAGTCTGATAAAGTGCAAAGCAAATGGCAGCAGTAGCAACACAGATTAACTAGAAATTTTTGTTAAAGCAATAAATGAATTGGACCCCTTGCATGAGTATCATAACAAAGAGCTAAATCCTAAGAAAATCGACAGCAGGTGAACCATACCTCTATGATTCTACAGTCCCAGATCTAAAAACTGACACAGGTCATGCTCTTAGCAAATTGTCATACACTGTATGTCATAAATTGACAAAAAAAAAATCTTAGTGCATGTTAATTGTGAAACTACGTTCTGAGGCTAATGAACAGTTCACATTTTTAAGTCGACTAAATAATATGATTTCAGATATTCCTGTTAAATCCAAATGCTAAAAGTAAAGGTCAAGATATGATTCTCAATAGCCAAAATATACAAAATAGAATAATATCAATCACTTTATTTCTTTACATATTCCTTTGACAAAAAACAGGCTTTCCTACTGTATTTCTTACTATGGTACGGAGAGGTAGTTCTTTAAACTTTTCTTCAACATTTTTCTGTTGATTATTTGATTTGTTTTTTACTGGTTTTACAGGTTTGTAGCTTATGGGTTTATCATATGCCATAGTTCTGTGGTGAGCACTGCAAATATTGGAAGAAAACTTCTGAGGTAAAACTGGCTTCTTAATTTAGGGTCAGGACTTCACCTTCTATAATAAAACCCAAGAGGTTTCAAGATGACCTTAATGACTCAGAATGAATGCAAAACTTTTATTTTGCCATTATTAAAAAATATATTTTATTGTATAACATTTAAACCTTGGTTTAAAGGGATAGTTCGGTATTTTTGACATGAATCTGTATGGCATCCCCATCACCAGCGGCATGCAATCACACTGACTTACCCCTGGCAGCGTCCTGTGAGCAGAGTTATCGTCCAGTTTTGGTCAAGCCGAAAGTAGTCCTGCAGGTTTTTAGGAACAGCGAAATAAAACTTTTCTCTTCCCAAAACATTATGTGTTCAAAAGAGTGATATTTTCGCATCCCAAAAACTTTGTAGTGGAAAAAGTCACACGTCGTTATCAATTGGTTTGGTTTGTTTTGGGAAGAGAAAAGTTTTATTTCGCTGTTCCTAAAAACCTGCAGGACTACTTTCGGCTTGACCAAAACTGGACGATAACTCTGCTCACAGGGCGCTGCCAGGGGTAAGTCAGTGTGATTGCATGCCGCTGGTGATTGGGATGCCATACAGATTCATGTCAAAAATACCGAACTATCCCTTTAAGCTACAGAAAGATTAGTCCTAAAGAACCATAACTCAACACAAAGGTTGGAAAAGGTCAAGGTCAACTTTATTTATATAGTACATTTACAACAACATTGCTGGCCAAAGTGCTTCACAACAATCATATAAAAACAAGGAATACAATACAAGGAATACATAAAAAAAAAAAAAAGTATGTGCAAACAGTTGGGTTTTAAGAAAGGATTTAAAACAGCTAACAGTCGGAAAAAGAGAGAAACAATGTGGAGCAATGGTCGCTGAGGTGGGAACCTAAGAAAGTTGTGCATAAATAACAGCTGTAAAACTTTGATCAAGTAAGGAAATTAGATGTAAGGTAAGAGAGAAAAGTTGCTCTACATTAACTAAATTCCTCCAGAAAACCAATACCTATTGAAATGGTTCTGTTAACTAATAAGTTAGGGAGGCACTTCATATTTAACATCTGTTTTTCGATTCATATAAGGTATTTGGCTGAATACATATGGGCATGGTGACATCTTGTACACTACTGCACACCGCACATTTGTAAAATCCCTAAAAAAAAATGGTATGTTTTATTTATGCATAAGAAGTAAAGCCCTAGAAATAAAATACTGTATACTTTATATGTTATTATGTCTGTATTTCGATGGGTAGGAAGGCATATTTTATCTCAAAACAACACATTAGGGTTAGTTTTAAAAACTTGGATTTGTTTGGTCTTGTTTAGGTGCCAGTGTCTGTCTGCAGTCCCAGCTGCCCTCCAGGTTTCAGGAAAGCTGTCCGTCGTGGGCAGCCTGTATGCTGTTTTGACTGTGTACCATGTGATAGTGGCAAAATTAGTAATCAGACAGGTAAGACAAAAAAATAGGGCTGTCGTAATATCAGTTACAGTAATGTAGTATTTTAATTATAAGTTTTCCTCTTCAAATCTATTTTTGGTAGATTCATTAGAGTGCATGTTTTGTCCTGAAGACTTCTGGTCAAACCAAGAGAGAACAGCATGCATCCCCAAGAGGGTGGAGTTCTTGGCCTATGATGCGTTGGGTATACCTCTGACAGTCATCTCAGTAGTGGGTGCTTCGCTGACTATTGGTGTTTTTGTTGTGTTTTTCTACCATAGAAATACAGCAGTTGTTCGAATGAATAATTCAGAACTCAGTTTTTTAATTCTGTTTGCCCTAATACTGTGTTTCCTATGTTCTCTTGTTTTTATTGGAGAACCCACAGTCTGGTCATGCATGCTTCGTCACACTGCCTTTAGCATTACATTTTCACTTTGCATCTCCTGCATCTTGGGAAAAACCCTGGTTGTTTTGGCTGCTTTCACTGCCACCAGGCCAGGGGACAACATTATGAAGTGGTTAGGACCCAAGCAGCAGCGTGTCATTATTTTCAGCTGCACTCTTGTACAGGTAGTTATCTGTGCCTCCTGGCTAATTGATGCTCCCCCTTATCCAATACGAAATACTAATTATGAGCGCTCAAAGATTATACTAGAGTGTAGTGTTGGGTCAAGCTTTGCCTTTTGGTGTGTTTTAGGATACATTGGTCTCCAGGCATGTCTTTGCTTTTTGCTGGCATTTCTGGCTCGCAAGTTACCTGGAAACTTCAACGAGGCCAAATATATAACCTTTAGCATGTTAATCTTCTCCACTGTGTGGCTTGCTTTCGTTCCTGCTTATATAAGTGCCCCCGGAAACTATGCAGATGCAGTTGAGTCATTTGCCATTTTGGCCTCCAGTTTTGGATTATTGTTTTGTTTGTTTGCTCTCAAATGTTACATTATTCTGCTGAAACCAGAAAAAAATACAAAGCAGCACCTTCTAGGTAAAGAATAAATGTAAATCACACCTTTTTAAAAATAAGTTCTTGACATTTCTAATTAGTAATGTTAGTTTTTCAAGAATCTTTTCAGTCTATTTCTAATCCATTAAAATTGTTTTATCATTTATTGTTGGTTCAATGTCTATTTGTTTTAACCAGGGTAATGTGATATTAATTATGTGAGTGACAAAATAAAATGTACCAAAACAAAGAATTGTGAAATGTATGTATCTTTTTAAATGCCTCAATAAGATCAAATTCTTCTTCTTCAAAAAGATAATTGGTCTATTATTTATGGAGACACATTGTGGTTTATTAATGGCTTTGTTAGAATGGATTTTGATTGATATTAATCAATAAAACATTTACTGTAGTTCAATTATATACATAAACATATTGAATATTTAATCAAATACCTTTAGTTCCATCAAACGTTGCCCCATGATAACGTGCCCAAATGGATGTAGTGTTAAGAAAATGGATAAAATATCTATTGGACCACTGAATTTATCAAAACAGCTAAAAAATAAATTAAATCCCACTATAATTATAATAACTTTAATTGTTAAAAAAAAATCATGAATAATTTGTTCTAATAGTAATTCAACAAAGTAAAAACAAATAATTGAAAAACTTTTCGGCTTGAAGAATGTGGTGTAAAAACATAATTGAATGCTATGTAAATGAAGTTTCAGTGAGATGAGACACAAGCAAAGTTTGAGGACATTACCTCCACTTCAGGGAGAAAGATTAAAACATTAAAGCTTACGTTGATGGAAGTGATGACTTAAATATTAATTAAGCATTTAATTTGTATAGTATTTTTAAATAAATAATAAGAAACTTTACAAGAAATTAATTCATCATTTTATTGAAATAACCTAACCTGGCATAAGATGATATGATAACTGTTCAGATTAATACCAATAGCACTGATGCCACTGTGGCAGCCTTTTTTAATACATCTTACTTTCCAAGTAAGATGTATTAAAAAACAATTTATTAAGAAGCATTTTAGTTGTAAAGCAACTAATAGACTTAAAGAAGATATGCAGCATCCCCTTGCAAACACTGAGGGACCTAAGCTTCCGTATGAAGTACAGTCTGCTCTTTCTGCCCATTCTTGTAGAAAGCTTCATAGTGGTGTCTCCACTTAAATTGGTTGTTCAGGTGAACAGGATCAGGCAAGTGTCAGCAGTTCCCAATGTCCAGCTGGAATTTTCTGATTATATTCTAAATACATAGTGGAATATATCTTTTGGGGTCCCCTCTCAGTGACAGGGTCTTGGAATGTATCCTCACTTTATAACATCACCCAAAGTTTCCTGTTCGGAGGTTTTTTTCTACAAAACCTATTCTCCAAATCTAACTTCTGGTATCATATGACGAGAACTAGAATTATTCTTATCTATAATGTATGTTAAAAATATGCCTAATGATGTGAAACAAAGCATGTAAGAAACAAGTAACCCATTTAGAAACATAAAGAAAGCTGACTGTTAATCCAAAAATGATAAAAAAAAATCATATATTTCCATAATGAGGTAGAAAACTGCCCCCCAAAATATTTAAACAATCAATGACACAAATTTCTTATTTTTTATTTCAGTCAAAAAGGAATTATCACCCAAATGTGACTTATAGATGTTATTCATTTGAAATAGTCACTGTGAAAGGAAGAAATTTTGTTTTCTTGATAAAGAACTAATGCACAAACTATGGTGTATATCTATTATATTTTCCAGTCATACCTTTTCTTGTATTCCTTTCAGGATGCAGCAGAATTATGTAACATTTGGGCAGAAATATACATAACAACAGACCAAAACTGGAGGCTAATATTGCAAATATTTCGACAGCTACTGAAAACTTTCCAGGTGAACTAACATAAGCTGGGATAAAACAGAGCCACACTGCCCAGAAAATCAACATACTGAAGGTGATGAGCTTGGCTTCGTTAAACGTATCTGGCAGCTTTCGTCCGAGGAATGCCAAGAGAAGGCACAAAAAAGCAAGCAGGCCAATGTAGCTTAGGAGTAGGTAAAAACCAAGTGGCCATGGCTCCTTACACTCCAAAATAATCTAATTAGGGAAATTAATGAAACAAAATTATTACATGAACAATACTGGATTGTTAGAATTGCATTTTACAGGATTAATGTTATGACTTTCTCTGCTTACTTTTCCATATGAAGCTTGGTATGTGAGATTCCGGATAGGAAAGGGTGGTGCCCCCAAAAGCCAACCAACACACAGACAAATCTGAGAGAACAAAGAGCAACAAAAATATTATTACAATATTAACGATGACAATAATCTGTTTAGGGTTAGCACAGCTGTTTATGTTTTCTACCTGAGGAGTTGTTGTGCAGAATATCATAGTCCTTTGTTGGGATGGACCAAACAGCTTCGGACCCTTGGAGCTTGGTATATTAGCTCGAAAAGCCAAAAGCACCACAACAGTTTTTACCAGCAGACAGGACAAACAGATAACAAAGCTAATCCCAAATGCCGCCTGGCGAAGCATACATGTCCAAGCTGAGGGTTGGCCAATAAACACCAGGGAACAGAGAAAACATAGCTTAAGTGACAGAAGAAGCAAGAAACTTATTTCTGAGTTGTTGGCCTTCACAATAGGGGTAGTGCGGAAACAATGGAAGATCACAGTAATGATGATTGTCAAAATGACCCCAAGCAAGGTTAGTACAACCAGGATGATTCCCATGGTCTCACTGAAAGACAGGAACTCCTCAATCCCTGCGACACATTTCACTTTGTCTTTGTCGGACCAGTAGGAGTCTGGGCATTTAATGCATTCAGTGGAGCCTTTGGGGACACAGAAAATATTATTAGATAAATTATTTATATAGTCTTAATGCTTGATTAATATTATACCAAATTTATGTAGCATAAATTATATAAAATTAAATAAAATTAAAACATATATACCCCTGGCAGATTAAGGTTTTGAATTAATCTTTTTATTTCTTTTATGACTGAAAATGATGATGTTTTTTAAATTTCCATTTAAAATGTTATTTGAATCTGTTTGAGAATTTTAAAAGTAGCCTCAGTATAGGGGTTCGGCACCAACATTAAAGACACAGAGCTCTTTAACCAAGAATAAATTATTGAGAGGTAATGAAACAAACAAAAAAAATTAAAATCAGGCTAGTAAGCGGAGATTTAAAAAAAAATGGCACCATATTGTTTAGTATAATATAAATAGAAACATAATTCATATTATTTTCAGTAGTATTAAATTCATGTTTTAGGAGAAAAATGCAACCAGTGTTAATTAACCACTTTCTGTTTTCTTTCGATAGCATGCATGAAAATTTGACTTGTATATATTTGCTTTCATATGGATGTAGTTTCAGCAACAGTAGCAGTTTGCCATTATAAACCAATTTCTTATACACAACAGACAATCAGTTACACAAGCAGCAACACCTGCTGATTGCCTGCAGGTGAGACCCTGATAGTAGGATTTCCCCGTTTTGATAGAGATGAGCATGACAACAGCAAGCCAGGCATATATTAGAGTTCTTCCACTCAAACTGATGTTAATTTTTCATTGTCTTACTATATTTTAAGTCACCAAAGGCTGTCAACTCTCACGCATTGATCGTGTGACACGCATTTGAGCAAATGCACACGTTCACAAACCACACTTTGAGTTTCTCACTCTTGAAGAAATGCATATACATTTTGTGACGTGCAGATTGATACAAAAATATGGATACCTAAGATAGCAGACAAAGGCTCTAAATCGATTCTCACATTCTAATTTCATTCATTTTTAGGTCAAGCACATTAACAAGAAAATGCGACCATTTAATAGGATCTACCTTTTCTTCCGCCTGGTAAGTGTGTAATGAATCAGTATGTAATCCCATGTACAGTCTGATGCGCTGCCTGAACAAACAGTGGCAGATCATCTTTTGCTGATGAGTTGTTTTGGCTTCACAAATAGCCAAACCACAATCTTCAATGTTTGTGTGAACAGTGAAAAGTCATTTTAACACACGGTAGATTGAACCACAACTTTGAATATGCTGAATCAATGATGGGGACAGAGGAGGAGAGTATAGGTACTACTGTTGCTAGACAGAAAGCAGGTTACAGTTTACAAAGGTTGCAGTTACAAAGTGAGAATATTCAAAGCTATAAATGGCACTAAGCACTGTTGTAGTTGGAGTCACATCCATAAAAAAGGTTTGTTCTGTAACTATTTTAAAACCTTTTTAAAATAATTACAGAACAATTATGTGCTGTTGGTGACATGTTTGACACCTTTTATTCAGTCTGTTTTAGCTGAAATACCTGTGTCTTTCTTTTTTTATATATAACCAGAATGATACAATTTGTGCCTTTGTGGATGGGAAATATGTTTGCAAGTTCCTCCTAAATTGATTTGGTTTATCATTAAACTCTGCTTGTTGTGAAACAAATCCAGAATGTAATACGACAGAGCTTCTAATGTGACTTAAATCTTGAAATGGGAAGCGGGTGCCACTTGGTAATTTACCCAATGAGCTTGAAAATTGTATTGAATGTCCCTCCCTTTTGCAAACATTGTCCACAAGACCCATTCTAGATGGATACTGTATAGATTTACTGTATAGAACTACACTTATAATTCTGGCGAGTGAATTAGAAAACCATTTTTTTGGAGCAGTAAAATGATTTCTTACATTTAACGAACACATTAAGTGCATTTCCAAAAAAAGTATTGTATCAGTATCGGCTAACACCAGACTCTCATTGGAGCATAAAAGAAGTTGGTGGTATCAGACATATTTAGGAATAGATGACAGGGACATAATCTGCTCATTTTCATATAAGACAATATATTTAAAGAAATTAGAAAATGTATCAAAATAGTCTGTTAATTTATGATTTAAAATAGGGATTTTGCTATTAGTTCTTGAACTCTCACTCCAAGCTCAGGTCACAAATTACCTTTCCTATTTCCAATCAGAAACAAACTTCCCAATTAAATTAAAATATAAGTATACATCTAGATCTGCCAGGAGTCAGATTATGTTTGGAGTATATATATATATATATATATATATATATATATATATATATATATATATATATATATATATATAAATTACAAAATAAGAGTTTTCTACCTGACTTGTTGCTTATCTCTCCATCTGCACAAGGCAGACAATCAAAGCAACAATGAGGTCTTCCTGGAAGTCTGGCCTGTCTGCTGCCAGGGGGACATGGAGCACTGCACTGAGAAACAGGCACCTAAAGGATAACCACAGTGTTTCTGTATCCTCTTCAAACATTTTAAAGCAAATTCATTGATTAGAATTTTCTAAATGTAAAAATCACATTTGACATACCTGTAACAAGCCTCCTGTCCATACAATAGTGCTTTCATTTATCCTCAGTTGTTGTGCTTGTGGAGCTGAACCATCATAATCTCCAACTTTAACAAATCTGTTGATGACATGATAAGTTCAATAAAATTAAGATGGGTCTCATTTCAAATGGCGAAGATGCAGGGATTGGGATAATAAAAGGATAAGACACATAAAAGAAACTTCCTGATAATTGATCTAGACCCTGGTGGGCTGGAAAAAAGAAATTCTAGTCAAAAAGGAATGTACCAACCTGATTTTCCCTTTGCTGTCCTTCTGCCAGTTAACAATGTCGTATAAAGGGACTGGCTCTCCTTTAGTATCAAAGTAAACTCTCTCCTGAAACTGATTTGTGAAATTCCCTTTCTTCAGATGGTACAGCAACTAGTTGGGAAAAAAAAAGAAAAAGTCACACATATTCATTTAAAATGAGCAACGATTTGCTTTTAATAAGTAATTTCACATGCCTGCCCTTGAGTGAATTTTGTGTATTTATCACACCGTCCCTCATTTTCTGCTGAATCACAGTTAAGTAAGGCGTGTAGAGCATGGGCAATGGCATATACAGCCTTATACACATTGTAGGATATTCTGACCTGAGATACATCAGTGTAACTACTTGATGTGAGACTCAGGTCTTCTAAACCTGTACACAAAGGATTTTTTACAGCATCAGGATGATCGTAAGATGGCCCTTTGAGTGGATCTGTCTTATTTGCATTAGCTTTGTTTCCATCATAACTGAGTTGACAGCCAAACTGCTCTTCCCAGAACATGTTGATGAATTCCATTCCTTGTTTGGGAGAGGGACGGACATTCAGAAGGAACTCTTTCAATCCGGGGATACTGACTCCAAGGAAGGAAAAGCCAAGCGTTCCCTCTAAAAGGCTGTGGAAGTTTGGAAATGTTAGGAGGCTAGCAGTTACCCAGGCTTCACTGGCTATCCACTGAATACCTGTTACATTCCTACGAGTAAGCTGAAAAATATGGGTACAGAAACGTACGGGTTAGCAACAAAGAAAATCAAATTCATGTTCTGAGCTTTGGTCGTCCTAAAATTATCTGACTATCTTCTGTATTCTGCATATCAACAGAGAGACTTACTTCTATAAACAGATCAAATAGCTGTCCCTCTGTTGCAAAAACCACCACAACATGTGCAGTTGACATCTGCAGTATATTTGCCATTTCTCCTATCTCAGCCTCTGTTGGTGATTTTGGAATAGTGAGATGAAATGCCACACATCCACCTCTGTGTCTAAAGTGATTTGAAAATGCTTGTATTCCATACTGACTGTAGTCATCCTATACGAGAAATTATAAGTGTTTAGTAGTTTACGTTAAACAATTATTGAAATTTGGGAAATTTGAAGGAAAGCCTAATCTTACCATAGTCCCTATTGTGCCCACCCAGAGCCATCCTAAGAATGTAACCAGCTGTACAAGACCTCTGACTTGAAAAAGATCATTTGGCACAGTACGCAAAAATGATGGATACACACGTTTGTCACTAAGACAGGTGCAAGTTGCAAAATAACTCACCTAAGATGAGACATAGGTTATCATAACATCTAAATATTAAAAAAAAACACACACACACAAAAAAAATCTAGGCATTATATTATTCTTTTTCTTTGCTTTTCTTACCAGCGGGATATTGAAAGAGCCAAGAACTTGAGCTACAGCTCTAGTTGGGGAGGAGGATGCAAGACCAATGACAACAGGTATTGGAGAACCAGACAGACATCTAGGTGATTCCTCCTGTGTCAATGATAAGTTTGGTCTCCTGTCATCTGACTTTAAACCTTCTCTTCCAGATATTTTTTCATTTGCCAAATTTATTGTGTTTTTCACTTTCCATATTTGGTTCCCACTGGTCACAGACTCAGGGAAACTAATTAAAGAGAAAAGAGCCTGCAAACTGCTGTGGACATTGTCACAGCTGTCTAAGATTTGATAGCCAAGTTTAACATCTGGTAATAGGCTTGAATGGTTGTTTATTTCCTCAACAGCAAACACCATAGTCATCATCCAACGGAAAGCTCTTTGATCAAATCTAGACAAAAAGGGGGCACGTATTTTCCAAGTGTTAAACATTTGTCAATTTGTTAAACATTACAAAAGGACAGCACAGAGAAATGTTATTTAAATGTAATTAAATCAAATACTCTTCACTTACCCATTGCAAACTGTGATTGGGGGTTTGTCTTGGTAGTTGGGCTGAAGCTCAGGTACCAAATAGTGCAAAGGGAAAATCCCTCCTATGACAACATCACCATTCATCTGCAAGGCTAAAGGCTTATTATCTCCTATTTTTACACACTGAGGTGAAGTAAATTCATTAACACTAAATTCCTCAATTTGCATATCATTCTCTTTCATGGTGTTTTCTGTTTCCTCAGCTCCTTTTTCTATATTCAGAATGTTCCTTTTTCTAATACTATAACAAAAACCTGAGAAAACAATTAGAAGAATGCTAAATAAAATCCAAAGATGCAGAAACAGTGCCTTAAACAGGTTGACCAGCTTTCCCATCCTGACCCCATAAAGACTGTCTATAACAGAGACTCTGACAGACTAAGTTAAGACAAATTAGAATCTGTTATTATGCATACTTTATTTGTTTGGTAATATGAGTCATCACGAGCTCAACCAATCACAATAACAAGGAATAGCAGAGAACAAAAGCCAATTACTTTCTCTCATTTTTTTAAACTGTTTTCATATGAGCACAAAGTATATGTGGTAAATCTAAATAATTAGAGGCAGAGACTGATTCATAAATGTATTTAAACTGCAGTTTTGATGGTTCTATTTATAGAAGTAAAAAATAATTTTAATGTGATTTGTTTATGGCATTAAAATAGCCCCCATAAATAAAATAATTTAAAATAAAAAAATTTAATTAAAATATTCCTGTACCGGGGGCTGCTGCTCAATGTCGCAGTGGGTAGCACTGCGACATTGAGAAGGTTCTGGGTTCGATTCCCGGCCCAGGGTGTTTCTGCTCCCTGAGCATGTGTGGGTTCTCTCCGGGTACTCCAGCTTCCTCCCACAGTCCAAAAACATGACTGTTAGGTTAATTTGCTTCTCTACAGTCTCCTTAGGTGTGAGTATGTGTGTGAATGGTCCTGTTTGTCTCTGTGTTGCCCTGCGATGGACTGGCAACCTGTCCAAGGTGTACCCTGCCTCTTGCCCATAGGCGTAACTTCCTTAAGGACTGGTGTGGACATGTCCCCACCAATCTTGACCGGTAGGGGGACAGTCCCCACCAATATTTTGTACACGTATTTTGCTTTCGGTGCTGTGTATATCTGATTAAAACCCCATTCATGCCGCTCCTCAGAAAGAAAATAAAAAAAGTTCTCCCCGCTGCTCACCGTCCACAAACCCCGACAAAAAAACTCAGAAAAAAGAATCTGTTGCCTCTCGCTTTCTCCCCATCACCCCCCTCCGCCCTCTCCCCATAACACCTGTCGCTTCCCTCCAACAATGCTAACCCATTCAGGGACAGCAGTGGACTCAGACTTGCAGGTGAGAGGGACTTGTGGAAATATTAAGACCTAATTTTAGTCAGGAGAGACTTAAAGTAGTAAAAGAATAGAGAATAGTGTAAAAATAAGTTAATACCGTATTTAAAATATAACTGAACCGTTGGAAAAAAAACTCAAACCACTTTTTTCCGGCCCTGTTATGTCAGCTACACTAGAGTCCTGCAACGGGTCGGGTACCCGCGAAAAATACATAAATAAAAATAAACGGGTCGGGCGGATATTTTTTTAGTGCGGGCGGGTAGTTGGTGATTTTTTTTTTATGCGTGTGTGTTGTTATGGACATCAGAAATGTTATATCAATCAGGCACTGGGTGCAGCGCAGCGTACAATAGCCTATGATGTGTTAACGGGTCGGGTTGCGGGTTAAATATCAACGGGTCGGGTCGGGTTCGGATTTGAATTGAAGATATCCGCGGGTGACGGGTCGGGTTCGGTAGTCATCCTAACGGGTTCGGGCGGGTGCGGGTTGGTAAAACTCGACCCGTGCAGGTCTCTAAGCTACACTACATTCAGTATCGTTGCCATAGAAACAGACAACAGCGCCAATATATCAGAATTATACCAAAACACACGCAAATAATTTCCCACATAAAAAACAGGACTTTCAGTCTATTACAGTTTTCCGTTTTTAGAGGGTTGTTTATTTTGCGTTTATTAAGTGATGACTGTGGTATATTAGCTTTCACTGCTATAAGCTTTCGCAGCGGTGATTAATTAATTCAAACACCTGCTCTACTGATGGTCTATCGGAGTTGGTGTTTAGGTTGAACATAAAGAACGCCTTTTATTTGAAGCTTCTTGTAGCTACTGTTTTAATCCCGGCTTTACTTAAAACTTTTTCCTGACCTTGATAGTGTTGCCATTCAGTAGCAAGCACTGCGCCCCTTTTTCTTTTATATGTACACGTACATTTAAGATTTAGCGTGTTATGTTGACAACTCATGAGCAAGCTGCTTTTTGCAATCTAGCAGGAAGGTAAGGATAGGATCCTGCAGGTGTGAAGTCACTCTGCAGGGGGTCCAAAGATAAAAGATTTAAACAATTTTGGCATTGGAATTTCAGATTTAAGGGAGTTAGAAAGTTCACTTAATAAAAGTGCAAATAATAAATCTGATTACCGATTACTTTTAAGCTGGTTGAACATACTGCGACAGACTGGTGACCTGTCCAGGGTGATCCCACCTCTCACCCAGAACGTGGCTAGAGATATGCACCAGCACCTCCTGATCCCACTGAGGGATAAGGTTAAAGAAAATGGATGGTTGAACATAGTTCGCTCTCCCAGATTCTATCAAATCAGTATTGATACCCTCAGGGGCGGATTTAGGAAATTTGGGGCCCTAGGCAAAGACAGGCAGGGGGTCCCCTGAGAAGAAAACCCATAAAACAGACCAATTCTACAGATAGAGAAATGTTAATAGAATAGACATCCATTATTTGTTCTAGGTTTTGTCCCTCTCTTCTTGTCCCTTTTTCCTCTCTATTTATCAGCATTCTGATGGCATTTTAGCCAAAGGATTTTTATCAAAAACATAATTAATGTGCACAAATAAGGAATAGTTGTATTCCTTTACCATTAGGCAATACTAGGCAACTGCCTAGCATTGCCTAATGGTAAATCCCCCCCTGGATACCCTGCTGGTGGATGTTCTTGACAGAAAGACAGAGTTGCTTAATCATATTCTGCTTAAGGCCCCATAAGATCTTGTCCGAGTCCTGGTTTAAAAGTAAATTAATTTTAAAAATTGACCTAAAATTGACCGCCAATAAATGTTCTACAAAATTGATATATTTGATTTCTTTGCTTTGTACTGTCTGTTTAGATTTATGTGATATTTTTTGCACAAAATATATAAGTGAATATTGTAACAATTATGTTTTCAACAGTAAGCATTAAATGAATAAATGTTATTCACATTTTTTTGGCTTTATCCTTTCCAACAAAAAAGGTAGCTCCCTTTCCTTATGAGCCGTCCCCACCAACTTTCAACACAAAGTTACACCCTTGCTCTTGCCCAATGATTGCTGGAGATAGGCACCAGCACCCCTCAAGACCCCACTCGGGATAAGTGTGTTAGAAAGTGGATGGATGGATTCTTGTACTGATTGGTAAATAAATTTATTTGGATAACATTTAGAGAGATGTTTGTATGTTTTTGGTTTTTTTTCTATGAAAATTTTGCAATTTAACCCATTTTCAGAGCACAATTTGTTGCAAATTAGTGTTTTATTCCTACAATGAATTTGTTTTTATGTTAAGGAGCAACACACAGCTTGACAGTTATATGTCTGGGAATATATAATTTGGAATGAACAATGCAAGTAGTGTAGGAAAGTTATTTGAAAATAAGATAAATACTGTAAATTCTCTAATATTGGCCTGTATTCCAATAGCGGCCGGGACTCTAACATTGGCCGGTCTCGCTGTCAGAGGAGGTAAATAATGGCCGGTCTCTAATACAGGCCGGGGCTATAAACGTTTTTTCTGGGCATACCTCAACATTATACTTGTGGTAGTAAGTAACATACAAGTACCACAGCCCTGCGCAGCTGGACTGCAGGCCGACTGCTGCCCGTCTGCGCGAGGAAGAGAACAGACACGCAGCAGAACAGGAGGAGCGCGAGTGATGAGGAGATTAAAGGGAGAGATGAAGAGGAGGAGGAAACTGAGGAGGAGAATTAAACAGAATTGGAGGATTTTTTATTTTTTTTTACTTCAAACCAAGCGAGACATGGTAACTGTACTTTTTCAATAAATGAACCTAGTGTTTTATAGGTTCAAATAGACACAAAATCTCATTTTTATTCATTCCACTGGTAGTCTGTTTTGCTCAAATAGCAATAGAGGCCTGTCTCTAATTCTGGCCTCTATCCAATAAAGGCCTGGACCGCGATGCACTTGAGTGAAATAAAGGCCCGGGCCTATATTAGAGAATTTACGGTAGTTTTGAAGAGTGTGACTTTTGCAGAAGAAGAGCACCAGGCCAGGTAATATAGATAACAACAGTATGAAGTTAGAATAAATAGCATTAACATCTGCTGAGATGTCCTAAAGGCTCTTTTAAGAAACCCAGTTAAGGGATTAAGAAGTGATTCTCTGGTTATCTTGGTTAGCTCTCACCATTCGTTTTGCATGTGATAACCATGAAATGGCCTTATAAACAGTTATCAGTCCTATTGAATGGCTTCAAATTGTGTCTCCTCTACCTTCTATCAGATTTTTTATGGCTACTAATATCCAGCATATCATTGATAACAGCCACAGTGACCATGTCTAAAACCATGTAATTATAATTGACCTACTTTATACTTTTAATCTACTTTTTACACAGTATACCTTTAAAAGAAACTGCATTTTGAGGCTTTACTTCAAATTAGTTCCACATGCTTCAGTCATACTGATTTAATGTGGTGTTTGACAACAACTCAGTTGACAGGAAATTAGATTGCTTGTTTTTGGTTTGTTGAACTAGTAAAGAGGTGCTCAGATTACACATAGATTAACTGATTCCTGTCCAAAAATGCATTACACCAGGGCTTGGATTCATTGGGTTGATAATAATCTACTGAACCTATGTGGCTGCAGGATCATATCTAGGAATGACAGAGACTTAAAGAAGACCGGAAAACTCAAGAGAAATGATTTGGCCATGCTTGTGAACAACTGATGGTGTCATCCAGGACATGTTATTGTGAAGATTCATCACTGCAGCCCCAATATTGAACTGCGGCAGTTGGTTTTTGGCCAAATTTTGTCATAAAGCAGTAACGTAGGAGCCAGAATTAAGGCGAGGCGACAGACAGTGGGATAATTCAAAGCATTTTATTAAAATAAAGAAGTGGATGTGCAGTGTCCCTCAATACTGCAGCCCCAGAGAACAAGCAGGAATTTGAGACAGTAAGAGGTGACTATAAAATTAAACAGACACAAAGGGAAAGTAGAGTCCACAGATATGTAACTAACTCACTGCTTTGACATTCAATAACCAAAAGAGATGTGATTATGAAATCTGGTATTGTTAAAAAAAAACACTTTATAAGTGGTGTGTAGACAATTCATATGCTTAGAGGGAATAGGAAGTGGTTTAGAATGAGGCAGAATGGCAGAGCATATAAGGCATGTTTAGCTTCAGTGATGAATGTTGGCCTTCAAAGGTCCCTACATGGTAAAGTACTGTTCTATTGGCCAGGAAGATGAGTTCCTTATTTTCTGTACAGATTAAAAGGGTTTTAAGTTTTTGCTTTCTTGGGCATCTCGCATTCACTCGCAGATCTGCACTCCGACGCTACCAGAAGATAAGCAGGGGGCTGGGCCACCCAAGCCTACCCACCATCCCAGCCTAACAATATCAGAGAAGAAAACCCAGAAGAAAGAAAAAAGATGGACAATCAGACCTCCGACATGGGGAAGGTGTCCGACCAGGGGACGAAAATATTATTTATAGGGAAGAAGGATAGGAAAGATTCACTATTTTAGAAACTAAAAGGTTTTGTCCCACTAGTGGACAAAGATGAAGTGCTTTTTGATATCAGGGATAGAACAGGAATACACCAGGAGAAGAATATTTAGGGACATGATAGGCATCCCTAGAGCTTATGGAAGAGAAATCAAGACAGACCAGACTGGGATGATGCTCTGAAGATGCGGAAGAAGTGCTCACTCACAGTTTCTGCCAGTAACAGTTAATTGCTGCTTTGGGCTTGGCAGAATGGAGTATGTGAAATTTTTCCATGATGTTTCTTACAGCACAAAGGAAAAGCCAGCCTGAATGCTTGAGGATTTATGGTTTCAAAGGCCTGTCAAGGTTGATGCTTCATGAAAGTGGAATACCCTCCCAGTCTACCCGAGAGCTCCCCAATCTCTGGACTCTTTAAAACAAAAAAACCTAAAAAAAAATTGTATTAATAAAAGCCTACCAATTAGGATTTGAATGTAGTTTATTGTTGTTCCACTGCATGTCCATTGAAATCATTCTTGACAGTGTATGCTCTTATCTGTAGTAACCCTTGCTATGTAGAACTGGTCGCCTGTCTGTTGCATTATAATTATCATTATTACTATATAAATCTTGTATTTTGAGCAAATGGATTAAAGGACAAGCAACTTCTACCACTATTGGTTCTCAAATGTATATGTTGATATGAAAAATGGCTCCAGATGTATCCTGGTCTTTATCATTTTATTGTTTCCAGATAACTAAAATTGATTATTAGCTTTTGCTCATTAAATATTTTTTGGTGTTCTTTTCTGGCTTAAACAAAATAATAAAACACTTTGGAGCAAATATAAAAAGCATCAGTCCAAAACTGGAGGCCAGAATGGCAAATATCTCCACTGCCACTGTAAGTTTTCCTGGAGAGCTGATATATGCTGGGATGAAGGTGATCCAGACGGCACAGAATATCAACATGCTGAAGGTGATCATCTTTGCTTCATTGAAATTATCAGGTAGTTTCCGAGCTAGAACAGCCAATATAAAGCAAAAAACAGCAAGCAGACCAATGTAGCCAAGGACAGCCCAGAAACCAACAGAAGAGCCCAATGCACATTCCAGTAGGATCTTCTCCTTATATGTAGTTAGATTTTTCTTTGGAAAAGGTGGGCTTACAACCAACCACAATGTACATATTATAACCTGAATAAATGTAAAAGACACTACAGTCATTCTTTGTTGTGGAGGACCAAACCATTTCATTACATTGTTTCCTGGAAGTGTTGCTTTAAAGGCCATTAAAACAACTATGGTTTTTCCAAGAACGCAGGAGATACAGAGAACAAAGGTGATGCCAAACGCTGTGTGCCGCAGCATGCAGGACCATTCAGAAGGTGCTCCAATGAAAGTTAATGAACATAAGAAGCACAGGGTCAGAGAGAAGAGCAGCAGGAAGCTCAGCTCAGAGTTGTTTGCTCTGACAATTGGAGTTGTCCTGTGATGAAAGAAAACTGCTGCTGTTATGATGGCCAAACAGGCTCCACTAACAGAGAATGCAGCCAGGATGATTGAAAGGACTTCATCAAAGGAAAGAAACTCCACACGTTTGGGAAAACAAGCATCTTTCTTTGCATTTGGCCAGAATTCTCTGGGGCATGGGTAGCAATTAGGAGAATCTAAAATATCAATCATAAACATTAGTGACCTTATTCATGTTTGGGTATTTAAAGTTATATTAAAACATGTTTAATATTACCTGTCACATTGTTCATCTCTCCTGTAGGACACTGTATACAATCATAGCAGCAGATGGGTTTTCCTTTCTGCAACACCTTACGGGTTCCTGGAGAACAACTGTCAGAGCAAACCGACACTGGCACCTGTATCAAATATTTAATCAAATTCAAAAAACAAAAGAATTTTATATTTTAACTTAAACAAATAATGGAGCAATAAAGCTTATTTATTATTTCTCTATAGTCTCATTACTTGAGTGCTACCCTCCAACCAGGTTATGTTCCGGTTGATATGGAACTGCTGACCCACTGGCAGTGATGCATCATAGTATCCTACTTTTATCAGTTCAGTAACTCCACTGGCATGCCTTTGCCAATTGACCAGTTCATAAAAAGCCACAGGATCACCATTATCATCAAATGACACATGGTAACTATTTCTTGTAAAATTGACATTTTTCAACTCTGACAAAACCTGCAAAGAAAAAAGAATAGAAAAATACTGTGTAAAATAAAAAATAAATAAACTGACAGAAGTTGTGTGGAAAATAGAATGCCAAATAATAGTTGGTCAATTCCTCTTTAAACAGACCTGACTTGACTCCAGTTTTGTGTGTTTATTACACTGTATAGTTTTATTCGTTTCCAGGCAAACAACATTGTGAATAGCATGGGCTATTGCATAAACAGCCTTGTATGCCATATTGGTAATTCTTAACTGAGATGTTTCAGTATACGGGCTCAAGAGTGTTTTAATGTCTTCAGTTCCATCACAGGTCCTTTCGTCTGGATTAGAACCTAGACATATGGAAAGATAAACCCCCATCTTATGGGTAATAAATGGAGCAAACGTTCTGTAGGTTTCATTTAAGTTTGCATGGAGTTTATTCTAAAATTAAAAATGCCAGTAATGTTAAAACATGGCTCTAACAGCAATTATTTCAATACATATGAGAAAATTGGACAATTCTTAATACTAATAATAAAAAAACATTCAATTACTCTTGAAACTGTAATTAGAGTACTTTTTCTTTTAAAAATACGTTGACTATGTTTAATCAGAACTTTGGGAAAAAAAATCCCCTGTGGATATACTGTTTTGCCTTTAATATTTGCTTTTAAATAGAGTTTGACAAAATTGTCTCACTTTTCAGCTTGCAGTCAAATGCTTCCTCCCAGAACTTTGTTAACACTGAGGAGAAAGCCACCTTTGAGAGAGAGAGATTTAGAAGGAATTCTCTCAGACCTGGAATGACGGATTGTTGAATGGCAACTCCGATAGCCCCTGCACAAAAACTGAAGCTCATCAGGTGTGGGTCAGTAATCCAGGCTTCACTTCCAATCCACTGACGCGATGGAGGACGGTCTTTGGCCATCTCCTCTAAGAGGAACTTCATGTCCCCAGGAGCTGCAAATGCCACGACTACTGTTGATGTTGACCTGAAGAGAAATTATTATAGTGCTTTAAACCCACATATGCTCTTTACCTGCATTACTAAATAAAATCAGTTGTCTTTCACAGATTAGTCATTCACTTTCTTGATACACATTGGTACAAGGTACACATGCACGAGATAAAGAAACCTCCGGATAATATCAGCAATTCTCTGGATCTTGTTGCGTGAGTCAGTCCGATAGAACGATTCCGAGTATTCCACACAGATCCCCTCTCTGAGTGCTGCCTTCAAAAAGGCTGCCATGCCATTATTTCCATAATCTGAGTTTGACCGGATGGCCCCTATCCAAGTCCAACCAAAGTGTTTCACCAGCTTGGCCAGTGCGTCAGCTTGGTACTGGTCACTGGGAATTGTTCTGAAAAAAGTTGGATACTGCTTCTTATCCGAGAGGCAGGCACAAGTGGCATAGTGGCTCACCTAAAGAAAGGTATATAAAATGAAGCTCATAAACATCATTAAAACCAGCAGGAGTATATTTCACATGGCAGAAAGATATTTAAAACTAAGCACCTGTGGAATGTTAAAGGATCCAATAACCCGTGACATGCTGATTGACGGGGTGGATCCAGATTCACCAATGACAGCAATCACCACGCCGGATTGAGAACAGTCATGTCTTGTGTAATATACAGGGTCGTAGCCATTTGACAGCTGAAATGCTACATGCATGGTCATAGGCACAGAAGCACATGAGTCATGAATCTGATATCCCAGTTTGACACTTGGCAGCAGCTCTGTGCTGTTATTTATTTCTTCAATGGCAAAGACCATTGCACGAGAAAAGCGCAGTTCACGTGGGTCTATTCTGCACATAGAAAGCACATAGGGTGTCTAATTTACACGTTTAAAAAAAACAAAGGGACTTAACATGTCACAAATATATCTAAGATGCAAATGGATATTTTCCTTCCCCAAAACAATACATATCAGTGTAAGATAAAAACAATTTTTTATTCAAAGCTAGCTTATAGGTTTTCGTTATTAAAAACACTTAAACACTGTTTAAAAGGATAAAATATAACTGAATATGAGCATTGAGAAATAGATCATGCATTGTTACACCTTTTAAACAAGTTTTCATAGCCTATATCAACATTTTTAAAAAATCTGCATTTTTAATTTCCACCTCTTCTTAGTTACTAACCTCCCCGTGCACCTTGGAGCCTCAGGAGCGGTGGTGTAGTCATTATTTACCATGTGCATGTTGGCATGAATGGAGAAAACACCTCCAATAATGTAGTCCCCCTCCATTGAGAAGGAAGGCAAAAGAGGGGTACCCTGCAGGCTACATTTTAAAGAAGTCTCAATATAAGCCTTGTCAGTGTTGCCAGCCTCTGTGAGAGTAGTAGAAGTTTTCTGACTGTAAGCAGATCCCCCCAAAGCCACTAATGTGCTATTTAGACACAGAGCCAATGTCAGGCTAATAAGCAAAGCTACGATCCCCATCTCTCATGTGCATTCAAAAGTGGTTTGTATTTCTTATATAGCTATTTTTTTTTTCTGCCAGAGGAGGGGACTGTAAAGAATTCAGTAACACAGCAACCTGATATTAACTGTTTTGATTGGATGGTCTTCATAGATTTATTTTTTTCAGCAGTGTCTATTTTTGTTTTTTCCTCTTTTGTTCTTTTCCCTTCTTTTTTTTTTTTAGCTTCACTAAAACACTTGAAATGTTCATGTTCATATAGCAAACTTTAAGGAGACCCCTGTCTTTTTAACCAAAATTAAAATCAATAAAATATTTACAGAGGAGCTGGTACCTATCGAAACGGTGTGTAAAAAGGAGGGTACTGCTTGAACTAGCTGCAAGTCCTGCACTAGGCAACACTAGATGGAAGCCAGTAGTTCTGGCCAAGATTCATCTGTATGCTTACACCTCAAAAAAAGAACACCTATGAAGAAAGAAACATTCAGATTTTGGACTTGGGATTATTGTGGTTTGAGCTTCCAAGCATTTACAATTCAGTTCTAGAGCTCTTTCCAAATCAATGAGATAAGCATACTAATCATTATTCAAACACTGTAACACTTAGCCTATACATACCAAAAGACCCCAACAACCACAGGCGTAACTTTCTGAAGGACTGATGTGGACATGTCCACACAAACTTTATCCTGCTGGGGACAGTCCCCACCAATACTTTGAACACTTTTTTTTTTTTACAGTAACAGGTAGGTTCATATTTCATTGCAGTATTGATTAAATGTTTTTTCATTCTTTACTTATATATAATAAAAAAAAAAGCTCAGCTCCTCAGAGGACCATGACTACCAGTTTTAGGTAAAAATTAACTCATATTTGTTGTTTCTTGCTGAACTGAGGTGACTAAATGGGAAAACAGAGGAGTGTATGTGGTGCTTTTGTCTGCATTTGGGTCCTGTCAAAGCATGAACTCTGCCTCATCGCCGGCCGTACGGCTGGCCTCCAGAGACTTTGCTTGGCCTTCCCAAACTTTGGTGGGTTGTTTTGTGTTTAGACTCTGTTTTTGTTTTTTGTTTATTGCTCTCCTTCCTGGTTACCACTCCACCCACCCTGGGTGGGTTGTTTTTGTTTTTGGACTTTTTAGGGCATCTGTAATCTGCCCTTAAGTGGGGGGTCATGGTTTTGTTCAAGTTTTATTTTGAGTTTTCATTGGTCTTATTTCGATTCTTGTGTTCTAGGTATTTTTGATTGTATTTGAGTTCTTAGATATTTCCTGTTTGCCCTCTTGTGTCAGTCTCCTTTTCTGGAGCTCCCTTCTTGCCTCTGTTCACACCTGCTCCCAATCTTCTAATTAGCCTGGTCTTTGTTTCTCTCTCCCAAATAATCTCCTCCTGTTCAGTTACTCTTTGCTGGTTTGTCATCATCACTTTGTCCCCTTCTTGTTGTGTATTTTTGGTTTTGAGCATTTTTGGATTTTTGCTTCTGTTTAACTGTTGTCATTAAAACATTCAAGTAGCCACCTCAAGCTTTTGTCTGCATTTTGGTCCTGTCAAACCTCCACCCCCTAACTGTAACGACTTGAGGTGGGAACAGATTATCTCAGGCAGCTAAAATATCCACTCTCTCCTCTTCCAATATCTTTTGAAACTAAAGAGCAACTGATTCTGTGGCTGCAATCCGCGCTCCTGAAACAGGGGGAACAGATTTTTACGCTGGAACAGGGTCTCTGTTGAAGCCAGCATAAAGTTGAATAATGCCCATGCAGATAGCTGAGCAATAAACAATCATTTTATTTGATAAATTATCAGCTAAAATTTACGGATCTTCTCAGAAAGACCTCTGTTTAAAACAACTTCCGGTTTAATGACATTCTTGGCTGTTTCACTGACATGCCTTACGTTTAAACTGAAATCAGCAAATGGCTTTTCAGTAGTGTATATGAAAGCTTTTCAGTAGTCTGTAATAAAGGTAAAGCTTTTCACCTGTTTATATGAACACTTCTCATTACATTGTATGAGAGCTTCTACGTAGGTTATATAAGATGTAAATGTTTTCACTAGTTTATATAAGAGCTTTTGACTAGTGTTTGTCAGTATATTATATGGAAGAGTTTAATTTAATATGTGTAAATGGAAGTTAATTTTGATTTATGTCCCTGGTGGCACCCCATAGGAGTCGCTCAGTGTGTTCGAATCTGATGGCAGCGTCCTCAGAAGGACCTCCGAAGTACCTTCAAAGGCAATAAATGAAAATAAGGAGACTAGAACAGTTCAGCTATAGATTCTAACAGGTCTAGCCTTATCCTTCTGTCATTGCCCCTCACTCAGGTAAGCTCTGTCGCTTAGCAACTGTAATAGTTGATGCAAAAAGCAGGCAATATATTGATGAAAAACTTCTCATTACTGTTTTGTGTGCTAATTTCATATTTGAGGAGGTTATTCGGCATTACCATTACACACTGCATATGTGCTTAGGCCTACATGTCAGCCAAACCCATTTGCACTGGGAGAGATAAAAATCACTCACAACATACTCATCTATTGGTTTAAGAGTAAACCCAAGGGTAAACCCAATTAATTATCTTTAGTTAAATGATTATAACTGAAAATTTGCTCAATTACCAGGTATTTCATTAACCCTTGTGGCTAATAAAATTCAAGATGTCTACACCATCATCCCTTGTCACTTGGAGTGAGCTGAACCACCTACAGCTCAACGTGACAAAGACTAAGGAGCTAATAGTGGATCTCAGGAGGACAAAAACACCTGTGACCCCTGTTTCCATCCAGGGTATTCCTGTTGACACTGTGGAGTATAAGTACCTAGGACTGTACTTTAACAATAAGTTGGACTGGACTAGAAACACAGAGGCAGTCTTCAAAAAGTTCCAAAGCCAACTATTCTTCCTGAGGAGACTGAAGTCCTTTAACATCTGTGGGGCGATGCTGAGGATGTTTTATGAGTCAGTTGCTAGCATGCTCTTCTTTGCTGTCGCATGCTGGGGCAGTGGGTTGAGGGTCGCTGACAACAACAGACTGAACAAACTGATCAGGAGGGCTGGTGATGTTGTTGGGGAGCAGCTGGACACTCTGACCACCATGGCAGAGAGGAGGATGCTGTCCAGGCTTCAGTCCATCTTAGACAATGACTCATATCCTCTCCACGACACACTGGTCCAGCAGACGAGCTCCTTCAGCAGAAGACTCCTCCTACCCAGATGCTCCACAGAGCGCCACAGGAAATCATTCCTACCTTTGGTCATCAATCTCTATAACGCCTCCCTCAAGTGATTCAGACCCCTATCCCCCCCCCCCCCCGTAATTGCCATTTATGCACTATTTTTGCACGCCACCTATCACTTTACTTGGATTTAACACTTTAATTGGATATATCACTTTACTTGGATTTAGTTTTACATATGCATATACGTATATATGTATATATATATATATATATATATATATATATATATATATATATATATATATATATATATATATATATATACATAAAATCCCTCTGGGGTTATTAAAGTATTTCTGATTCTGATCCATCCATTTTCCATCACGCTTATCCCTTCTGGGGTTGCGAGGGGAGCTGTTGTCTATCTCCAGCTGTCTACAGGCAGTCCATCGCAGGGCAACAAAGAGACAAAGAGTACAAACAACCATTCACACACACCCTCACACCTAAGGAGAATTTAGAGAAGCCAGTTAACCTAACAGTCATGTTTTTGGACTGTGGGAGCAAGCCGGAGTACCAGGAGAGAACCAATGCATGCTCAGAGGGAACATGCAAACTCAATGCAGAAAGACCCCAGTTAATGTCAATAATTGGGTTTATGAATTGAGCAGTTAATAATCATTAACCACAAAGAAAATATTTGTCTCTTTGTCTCCATTCAAGTTGTTAACCAAAACAGGTAGGCTCTGCTCTTTTTAGACAGTCAGTTACTGCTGTATAAATAATCACACAATACCACAATTAACAGAACTGGTCCTTTATTTATTGAACCTAATAATTCCTTTTAAAGTATTATTATTTTAATAATCTATACAGACACTACAAATTACTGGAATAAACAAAGAACACATTAAATAAATAGTTAACACAAAAGATTTCAAATGAGTTCTTGAAGGAGTGTCTAATAATGTTCAGTCCTTTGGCTCAGCTGTTGATTGGCAGTAGAAAAGATATATAGCAGATTTGTTACAATGGTCTTTGGTAACTTTCAATTTAATCAAGTTTCACTTAATCCAATAATGAACAATTACCAATCAACGTAATGTATTTGATGTGACATCATTGTGATGTCATTGAAATGAGCGGTGATGAGGGAGAAGCATCGCTTCTCTTGCCATGGGAACTGATAGCTTACCACAGCTAATTTCGGCAAGCAACAACTAGCTAGGCCAAAAACAATGAGCTAACCCTAGTATATTAACAGAGAACTAAACTGCTAACCACAGGCCAGGACCCAAACACCAGACATGATTTAGATAATGGTTTTTAGACTAAATCTGGTCAGTCTGTCATAGTCTTGATTTAGCCCAGAAATAGTTGTTGAAAATTAGGATGTGTTTGGTCAGTCTGGTTTTGTCCAACTTTAGTTCAATAATAGACATCCAAAAGACCTTGCAAATAAATTTTGCAACATCTTTTCTATTATGTGAAAATTATGGATTTTCACCTTTTACTTTCATCAGAATAGAGATGTTATTTGGATATAAATCACGTATTCTATTAAATGTCTGTTCAGCCAGTATTAGTCGGAGGGCACAACCTGTTTCAGTTTTTTTCATGGCATTTGAAGGTCATAGTTACAACCTTTTCGTCAAAACAATACAACAATCCAAAGGGTTTATATAGCTGAGTATCATCAGCATAGCAGTGGATATTAATCCCATGCCATCTGATAATTCTACCTATTGAGAGCCTGTATGTGTATGTAGTACACAGAATTGACCCTAGGTAATTCATCATAAAGGGACTGAATGTCATGGCAAAATAGTTATA